TTCTGCGAAACTTGTGTGATGCGCCGTAGCAATAATTCTTGTATTTTTGGCGTTTTCAAAAAAAATATTTGTTGTTTAATAGATAACTAAAGCTATAATTTAGAGATTCCGTTTTTTGTATTTTAAATAACATGAATTAGTTTTAGTTTTTTTGTAGTGTTTTAAAATAAAAAAAATGTCCTGCTTTTTTCAAATCCTTGTTCTGCGAATTCTAATTTTGCACTTGGCACACCTAATTGAGAACAACGCTTCCTTAATCGAAGGTAATCATGGATGATCTAATATTCAGAATATTTTCTATTTGAAGGTATAAGTGATTCGGCGGTGTTCTTTCATTATTTGCTTCACAAAATCGATGTTTTTGAGAATGGCTTTTGTAGAAATACGATCCGTGTGGAGTTCAATTACAAAGATTCATCTTCCTCGCTTAAATTCCAAAAAACAACTGAAAACAGTTGTCTTCGATGGAGATACATTTTTGTGTCATTAATTTAACTCATTACTCGTCTCTATACTTTAAATGGCATCTGATATTATGTGAAAGTTGAAGGTAAAAAATATTGTATATTCTAAAAACACTCATCCAAAAAAATTAAATATCGTTAGATGAATTTTTTGTCCTAATTAAAATATCATAATTTGAATGGTCGTTCATTGTATGTAAAACACTTGTACATATGCATACCGCATTGCAGTCACTTTTATATGTATTCCGAGCTCATTAAATTTCGATAGTAGAAACTCTGACAGGTAATTTAATTACCACATCATAACGGCAGTTAATTGCAAAGTATCTAATCAACAGACAATAATTTTTGCCAACTAATCATACACACGAATGCTTGAATTTTTCATATTTTGGTCAAAATAAAAAAAATCGCGCCTCGCATTATGTATAGATTGAGATTCGAATAAAAAAAAAGATTCTTAAAATTCAACACATTTTAACAAATTCCTAAGGTTTATTTTAAAACTTTGGAAAAAAAAACCTGGAAATACCAGAAACTTAAAAATTCCCCAATAAAACACCTACAAAATTCACGACAATGAAGTCTGCAGACAGATACAGATGCGTACATTGCGTAGGAGGGAGCGCCTTTCTATTTATAATTTTGTTATGACTGAGCCCCCCTGCGAACATTTGAGTTAAATTTAACGTAATACTCTCACCTATTTCAAAACCAACAAAAAAATCCTTTTTAAACTACTGTCTACGTTCTTTCCCCCTTATATCTCATCGTAATTAATACCGCCTTCCCCTTATGTCAAAAGCAATTTTTTTCAACATGCCTTAAAGGCACTATCACGTTTACAGCCAATTACGAGCAAGCACTGACCCCACATAAACCAGCACCTACCTACCTACTCGACTAGAAAAACAGTTGAGGTAAAACACACATTTTTCAATCCTACAGACCAAAAATAGACGCAATCAAAAGTGCAACGCCCCCCGGGAAAATTCTCACCCTATTCACAAAAACGTTCACCTTTCAACTAGTAAAAACAAAATGTTAACATTTTTGCAGCTTGCACGTCTTGACGAAATAAATTGCTCGTAGTGGAGGGATAGATGGTTTCGGTTTATTTTTGGTGTTAAAATGTGCAACATCTGCGCGTGCTAAGGATATGGGCATTATTCAAACCAAAAAGAAAGAAAGAGGCACGTACCAACAGATCGAAAGAAAATTCCTTCGACGAGCATTTATACCTATGTATACGTATGCAGCACCTGCCCAACTAAGCAATGATTTGAATTAAATAAAAGAACTGCATATAACCATCAGAAAAAGGTACCACCTGCCTACGTGAAATCAAAGACAGCTGTCGTTCGTGCCGCCACAAGACGTTCGACTAATAAAAACTCAATTTTTTCCGGACTTTTCGGAAATATTTTCACCGAGCAAAAACTAAGTATGTAGTAAACAAAGACGATAATAATTAAAATATCGATTTATTATTGAGGCCGACATGTGCCACAAGGCAATTATCGATAACTTAGGACATAATGAAAACAAATGAAGGAACAAGACACGTGACCGGAAACACAGACATGATTACACGGACCACCTGGCAGAGCAGTGCTTCCAAAATACATGTTGTTTGTCCACGATTGTTTTCAACGAAACAAAAATCTTCAACCAAGAAGAAAGATCATTCCGGAGGTAACAAAAGAGATATTTATACAATGGGTAATATAATAAGCAATTAACGCTCAATCTATTAGGATGGCAACATTTAAAAGTAAGAATGCATCAACCTTGGATGAATGCAGGAAGGCCGCGCGGGGGCGCCAGATGCGCGCCAGCTGCTGGATGGAAGGCACGAGCCAGCAGCTGCCGATGAAACCCTCTCCCATATATCTAATCTTTCGCCCGTGTTATGTGCCAGTGTAATGATGACCACCTAAACACCTTCGTTACACAAGAGTAAAAACAAACTGAAAAAAAAAACATAAAATTCGGACCAAAAACGAAAACGAGTAATTTTTGTAATGATCGAAGCTAATTGGGCTTTAAGATAATTTTGTTATCAATTGTTGGTTCTTAAGGCTTCAATTACAATTGTAGAAATCGTAATAGAAAATAAGAAAAAAAAAACAGATTTTTTTAGAACAATGAACCTACTCCATCAGGACGTACAACGAAACACAGAAATAAATTTACTTGAAGAACCTTAAAATCAGCGAATACTGTCAACAACAGTCTTAATATTTTGCTTAAATTTTAATTTTATTTTTTTAGTCATTAATTCTGATAAAACTGCTTGTTAAAATAAGAAAATTACGACTAGGAAACACCAGTGCAAAATGTTTCAATAAGCTCAAATTTATCAAGAAATAGAAAAATTGTGGGTAATTCATAAATTTTCGATTATCGACATTGGTACTTCGGTGGTAGAAGACACTTTATCCAGAAGTATTAACACTGGAACAAACTACATAAAAATTTACTGACTAATTTAAATTGATTACAGAAGCCTTTAAAAAATAATATCTAAAACCTCAAAAATAAGGTCTTTCGCAATTTCTTTTTTAAAACTATGTATGTCAAAACTAGATTTTGGTTTATCGGTTTCATAATTGCTATAGAACACCAATCAGTGCTACCTTAGTAACTATCGAACCGATCAAATTTATCTAATGCTAAATTGTTTCAGAAATCGGACACAAATCTCTTGGAACTTTTTTCAAAAAGAACGATACGATAGTCTGGTTCAACATTTATTTTTGTAAATTAGTTCTTACATAGAGAAATTACCGTATTCATTAAAAAAAAAAACTCAAGAGTGCTTCAACAAATATTTTGCTTCTTTGATTAATTCATTTTTACCACGGTTCAAAAAATATGTACAATAAATCTATTTGTTTTTTCTTTTAAATATGTATTTCAACTGGTTTGCTCCTTCCATTTGCATTTGTTTTCGAAATTAGAAAGTTGTCCTAGTGTAACTGTTTCAAAATTTCAGGATATTTTTGAATTGGCGGTGAAACATGTCATATTTCAAAAAACTGCTATTCTTTTAGAATTTTATTATAATATAATTTATGATCTGACCTCTCTACCTAACCAAAGTATAATATTTTAGACGCAATTTCGATGACGTCAATGTCTGAAGGTATATAAAAATACATGCAGTTTTTTCGCATGTAAAAAAAACGTCAGCACTAAAACCTCCCTTAAAAAGCGAATCTAACAAAACCGGAAGGGTGCAGACCGAAGAAGATAGGAAGGGTAAAAAAGAACTGCTGTGGTAAAACTGCATCGCGTGCAAGCTGTTGGTACGGGGTTGAGGTTCTACCACACCTGCTTGTAGCAGATGTGCACGTCTACACACATCCTAAGGTCCCGTCTGATGCATTCAAGTAATATTTAAAGCCGCTATATTTTCACCTAGGGTGTGTTATACTTCACAACACAATCCAAAAACGGTAACTAACTAGTAGTACTAAAATGAAATCTCCCCATTCTCTCCTTCACTCTCCGACTATGATCTTATTAAGAAATTCCTGCACCTCCAGTCGTCCTTAAACAACTCCAATAGTTAATCCGATCCACTATTGGCCGTCCGATTCATAGCTCGAGGACAGGTAACTCCCACCCAAGAATCGCCAACATTTTGCGCAGAAAACGTTCGCGTTTCTTCATACACCCCGATCTCTCTCAAGACGTAAGCCTTTCGTCGACACGTCCTCAATTATTTTCTAAACGTCCAGACATTGCATAACCTAGACGATGGCGATGGTGCAAATTGTGACGACGATCGACTATTTCGGTGCGTCGAAAGGGTATATTTAGAGTGAAAATCTCGGACAGAAGCAGCAGGAATCGACAACGACGACGCGCGGTCATCGCACTTTCGAGGAGAAGGGGTTGACCTAGTCGGACGATGGGGTGCACGGCGCTCAGGTCAAGGGGTAAAGGTCGTTGTCCTGCTGCCATCGCATCCCCTAAATCCCATACGACGCACACATACGCCAAATCGCAAGAGGGGTCTTGACGACAGGTTTTATTGTTCGGAGAAAACGAGCGACATTTTTCGCATTTCACACAGAAACACCCTGTATGAGTAATAAGACACTCGAGACACCAGATTCATTATCCTCCCGAGCAATTAATAACGAGACTGTCATGAATGTAAGGCACGATTAATGTCTCGTAATAATCAAATTATAAAGCAAAAAAAATTGCACACTAATGACAGTTACACTAATAATAGGTTGACGTTAACAAATCTACGGTGCAAGTAATTAAAATAAAAGAAAAATCGAATGTCACGAAAACACTGATAAAATACTACAGACGTTTCGTCATCGTCTGCAAGAGTACGTCGTGTGTCCACGTTCTAAATTCAAACGTGTCCTGGTTATTCCTGGCGCCGGCAATTCTAATCTAACGCCAACTCCGCCGTAAACATATTAAAACAACGTGCCAAAAATTTCCGCCGTCTTTTGACTCAATACGACGACAAAAAAGGATCAAAAGAATAATTTAAGCACTTACCGATCGTAGATATTCCCAGCTTGAGCGTATTTCTGGACGCGGGATAGCGGTGGTAAAACGTCGTCATCGCCGGGGCTGCCCGTAGAGCAATCTCCTTGTTCGAATACACCTAAGCAATAAAATAAGTCATCAGACTCATCAGAGTGAAAAAACTCTGAACAAAATCATGTTTTCGAATGTCGACTGTTTTTGGGATCATATTTTTTGAAATTAAGAAAGTAATAAATTTAATATAACTTCTAATAATAATAACTTTAATATACCTACAGGGTGAATAAAAAGTATGGACTCAAGCGGTTCTTTTTTAAAGTGTTATAAGAAGTGAGATCGTGTTTTGTGAATGAAATTTTGTTTTGTTTTTGAAATATGCGATTTTTTTTGTCAAAAAGGCAACTGTGAATTTTTTTTTTTGATAAAAATTGTAGTAGATAGCTGTAATCCTTAGATGTTAGCTTTATTAAAAAAAAAATTTGTTGTGGGTTATCATTAAAAAAAAAATAATTTTTTTTTCAGAACTCAATAACAAAAAAAAAACCACATCGAAAAAATTGATTCTTGTTAAAACGTTCGGAAAGATCCAATCGACCTGTTCAAAGCCTTTTTAAAAAATATGTATTTTGTAACAAATATGAGTTTTGTGCGGTGCTTTAGATTCACGCTGTGTATAAATTTTCTTTTCATTGGGTTGTTCCGAAATTTAGTGCTTAATTTTCATACAGAGTATTTATAATATGACTACTTCTATATCAGAAACAAAACCAATATTAAATTTGTGAAGATATTTTCGATAAAATACAACAAATTTATTAAATGAAACGCATATTATTTGTATTAATGTCAATCACACATTTGCTTTACCTACAAACACTTTGAATTAGCACTTGTTCTTTTACTACAAAATAAAATTTCAATTTTATTTAAGAAAATATATACAAAAAAGCATTCATTCCTCTATAACTAAAGACCATTTTCTAAATAAAAACTTTTTGATAACCTATACTATTTTAAAAAGATATGGTGCATGTTACTGCATATCAAGCTTTCAAACAAATTATATTGAAAGCATTTAACGTTTTAAAAAGACAAACAGTTCTAAAAAAGTCGGTATGCCATTGGATTTATTTTATTTTATCAGAATGTGACTGAATAACACTGACATACTTAATAAATGGTACATCTAAATAAGTGTGCAATAAGTTTTACAATCCTAAAAAATAAATATTTTTTCATAATTTAAGAAACTACAAAATTTTGGTGACCCAGAAACGCCTTCTCAAATGGCAAAATAATTATTATACTTCATAATATTTTAAGTTTTTCTTCCTAAAGTAAATACAAGCAAACTTTGAGTTGAAATTTAAATCTATTCACTAAATTAAGTTTTCCAAGAAAATTTAAATTTAATCCCTCGTTGCAAATAGTAAAAAACCGTATAGTAATTTAACTCGACCTTATCTCGATCCATCATTACGAGCCCCTCGAAACTCTAGCAAGCATCATTAACATACCAACAATAAAAACAGAAACCATGCATTCGCTTCAAAAGCATGGCTTTTCTCGTAAATCGATAAAATCTAAATCGTTCCGGAAAAAAACCTTCTACCGAAAAAACCCCCCGAAAAACATTTAAAAACGTATAAAACAAGCGCTAATCCATCCACCCTGACAAGCATTTTACTGCAAAGAACACATCGATCATCATCACGTAAATCAAATTAATAAGAGAAAAAAAGAGGGTGCGGACCTGACAGGTTCTTTTCCACGTGAACTTCATGACGATGCCGTTATAAATCCTTCAAGACAATAAAAATCACAAAAGACACTTCCGAAATCGTGAAAACCGCCCGAATTTTGCAATTTTTCGCAAAAGCGCACTAAAAGTTGACCAAAATCACCGGTTACGTCCATGCGAACATCACCCGCCAAGCAAGGAGTCTTACGACGATCATCGGTCGGGTGGAGACGTTGTTTCGGTGCGTCGCCGGACGTCGTCGTGAGGGCGCCACCGATCGGCTTCCGTGAGTTGATCGGATCAATATGAGCGTGCGTACGGGCGTGGTGAACACTTTAAAATCCACCAACATGGAAAAAGTCCACACTAGGATAAGGGAAAAGGAGAGTATCGTTGAGCCCCCCCGTATTCACGTACAATTTTACATTTTTGCCCCCGCCTCGTTGCGTGTTTGCGTTTAAATGGATTTGCATAAAGCGTATCAACGAAATTCTCGATGAACGGGTCGTAAACGAAAATGGCGACGAGTAAACACAACCGAAATGTCAGATAAAAATTTTGGTAGGATAAAAAAAAATATTGTCATAGTCCAGAAAAATACAAAATTGAACAATTTTTATTATTTCATTACAACAACCAAGTTATTACTGTGATTTAGATAAATTGTCTCTGATATTGCTTTACAAACTAAAATTATGTTACAAGTAAATCCTCAAGAGGCATAGATTTTTATATACAGCGTCTTCTCCCAGTTTGGACTTTTTGGATTAAATTTTTTGTTATTAATAATATTATTACACGTTTTTTATGTTTAAAAAAACAGATTCCAATTATTACTTAAAGAGAATAATACATAGTAGATTACATACCGAAGTGGTGCTTGGGAAATGCTTCATTACCAAGGCGAAATTTAATGACTAAACCGCGAAGCAATGACCATCAAAGTTTGTATGCTATTTTCGAGACTATTTTACTCACAATCATCCTCCTTAAAGTACAGAAAGCCAATAAAAAATTTATCAAATTTTGAAAATATGAAATCACAGCTAGGTTGGGAAGTGGTCACTTTCTTAGCAGTTTTCGGGTTGAGAAGTGGTCATTTCCCAACCTGAACTGTCAATTACATTCCAATTGATAAGTAAGTGACCACTTCCCAACCTGAACCTGATATTTCATATCAATTGCTAAATGAAGTTGAATTCTCATACTTTCCAACTTTTCACATGCAAGATAATTTGATTATTATTTTATGATTGCAAATAAAAAATGTTTAGAATTTGTTATTCTTCATTTAAAACTTTTTTCCTATACGTACAGTGGCCAACAGTGAATTTCGTCCGCCCTTTTTCCGTGAATTGACATTCAAATACGTATTGTCAAATTTAATCATTATTCATTTTGAAGCGGATTTTCAACCTGAAAATAGATTGGTATTATACAGTGCGATCAAAAAGTTTATCTAGGCATCAAGCAAGCCTAGAAATTTAAAACGTGTGTCTGAGGAAGATAAAATGTCACAATGGTAAATAAGAAATGTCAAAATATTTTTTTTGTAAACTGTAACAACAAATCGTGGTGAACGATTTGTATAAATAAACTCCAACTACATCTCATTTTAGGGTGTTTTAAGATGTTTCTTTCAGTAATTCAATTTGTTTAGATCAATATCTTAATTTTTATAAAATAATTCTTTGATATCTAGCTGACATACAAACTTCCAAGCGACATACGTCCTCAACTAGTACGCCTACTTGATAGACTTTTTGATCGAACTGTACTTTAAGAATGTAAGATAAAGCATAGGTAAAAAGTATCGAGCATTCTGTCAACATGACAAACGTTAATCAAAATTCTGAAACAAGGTTAGAAAAACGTAAAAACAAATTTACACTTTTAGTTTGTCATGGAAATTGGGTGGACGAAATTCACTGTCCGTCTCTGTACAAAATACAGACACCATCCCTCAAAAAAAGAATGTACATATTTCTGTAAAAATGAATCAAGTTCATTATAAAAAAGACTAATTTATCTTCTCGGGTTTTGTAAATATAATACTTTTAACTAATTAAACATTTACAAGACTGTAAAAACAATATTTACCTTAAAAAAATTGTATGTATGCAGCATGATTCAAAAAGACTCTACAATTATTACTCGAGTGGTTTTTAGAATCATCAAATTATTCTCAATTCTCATTTATATTCACACAAAAATGTATCATCTTATCTAAGGCAGAAATAACTCTTCAGAAATGCAACTTTAATATTAATTTTTTATTTATTAGGAAAGGTAATTTTGCGTTTTATTAGTAAGAGACGTTAGAACATACATCTACGAAATTAAAAAATGAACAAAAAAACCTTAAGTATAACAAAATCTTAAGTATAATACGTAAAACGTGCATAAAATCCCTGTCAAATAGAGATTTACTGAAAAGGTAAAGTTGGTAACAGCACATCAAAAATTGCCCGTTCTTTTCTAAATGAGAACCAATTTGCTTCAAAATTTTATCTTCTGGTACCCCAGAGATACAAATCATTGAAAAAGACGTTGCTTTTCTAATGTTACTAAATATTCGTTCAGAAGGTAGGCTACATAAACGGCAGTTAAACCGAAAATCATTGCTTATGTCATCAAAAGGGCACAATTACGTCTTTGAATACAAAAAATCTAAAAAACTTAGTACTTCAAAGAATTACAACAAGTAAAACAGTTCATTATTGGAAATTTTCATGCGTCTTTTTTGACGTTTTGGCACATTCGGCCTACTTAACGAACAATTCATAGAAATTCAAAATGTAATGTAATAAAGGTTTGTTAGTTTGTTTTCAAGCAATTAACGGTAGGTACATATTTAAAAAGCAGCTTATTTGAATAGTTTAAATACAACTTTCCTTTCTTTTTAATTTAATAATTTTCAATAAAAAAAATAGAAAACATGTACATGTATACAGAGTGTTTCACATAACTTTACGAGGCTTGCGCCTAATGTACGCACCCAAATATGCAAAAGTCACAGAACACTGGATACAAAAAATACACATTTAATTATTTAATTTTTGGAAACCCATGACAGTAGTTGTCAAACAAATCACTGTTTCATTAATAGTCATAAACTGCAGTTTTTCAGAAACAATTATCATTTGTTCTATCAAGAGACGGCATGAATATGATTGTAGTTTATCTATCTTAATCACTAACTAACTAAAAACGTTGTAATTTTTGAAAGGGTGAACAAACTAGAGAAGATTATCCAATTTTTCAAAATTTGTAATCGAGTTCGTATCGGAATATGTGTTATTGATTGCATCTTTCAGGCGCAGGCCTCGTAAAATTATGTGAAACACCCTGTATAACACAATATAGACCTAAATATTCCAAACCAAAATACCTATGTTATGGTATAAAGCCACATGTTACAACGTCTCATTGTGACACTCGCCACTATGTGACTCGTGTAACAAACTACTCGTATCATAGTAATAAGACTGTTTGTTTTTAACATACTATTTTATCAACGAATAAATTAATTTTATTCGTCGACACTGTCAAAATTTACGGTTTTTTTCCCATGTAAGGAAGTTTTGACAAACGTCAGATTATTTTTAACAGATTTAAAACAATTTTAAGCCTTGTTAAGCCTAATTCGAAGAATAAAATGTTGAATTGAACTCGTCTTCGTGTAAATCTGAAGCTTTATTCCCACTTGTGGTTTAATAATCCACTCGGTGAAATAAAGCGTCCGATTTACACTTAAACTCGTCGAATAAATAATTATTGTACATAAAAACTCTAATACACTGGTGGACACGGAATTTTGGACGATTTGTTTTTTGACTGACATAAAATTGTAAAACGGACCTTAGGCAACTAACCTCACTTTCGATTTTTGTAATTTTTATCCTGACAGGTACAGAAAAAATGACAACAAATCAAAATAATTTATTGAACTTTAAAGATTGCTTTAAGTATTGCTGACATTGTTTCGGAAAATCGACGCCAAAAGTAAATTTCAACTAAAACTTTAAAATTTTTGTTTCAAACATAATTACAATAAAGCGTGGCTTACATTGACATTTTTTAAAGTGACATAAATTTGATGTCCAAAATTCCGTGTCCGCGCCTGTAGCCATTATCTGCTCCTATTTTATTTGAAAAATATTTTTTTTACAAACTTAACCTACATTTCGAAACCCATTTTCTTCGAAACGTAAAATCGTAAAAAACAGAAAACACATTTCCTGGAAAGTTAAGAACTAAACAAATATTTTTGAAAAGATAAAATCAAATACGACATAATGTTAACAGAAAATACGATTTGGATCACCTATTTACAAATAAAAAACTGTTTCTACAGGAAATCCATCAATATTTGCATTTACAATACAATTTGTTTGTTTTTGTAGATACTGATATTATTCGACTTCCCCTCTGATTTTCTCCGAAAAAACGAAACACATTTTTAACATTTTCAGTGCAAGTGTTGGTGCCCGTCCTTAGAAGGTACTGAGAGAAATATTTTTTAAAAGGGTATTTTTTACTATTAACGAAATGTTTAAAGTCCAAATTACAATTTAGCTTTTTAACAAGAGCTAGGCAATACATTCAACTCAAGATAATCCAAATAATAAAAATCGAAAAAAAGTCTTTCGTACAATAAAATCGGTAATTATTAGAACACAATTCAGCCTTTTTGTACAAATAAGATAATTATGTTTATGTTTTATGTGTTCATCTGCCTCCACTTATTTAATGTTACTTTTCACATGACACTTTAATAAAAAATAAATTGAAGACTTGATGTTATTTATACAGGGTATTTCAAATTTTACCCCATGCAAAAAGATGTCATAAATTACGATTATTAGAATAAAACTATAAACAAAAATTCACGAAATATTTAATAATATTGTTTTTTTAAATTTCTATATAATCAGTGATTAGTCAGTCATGAGTTAGACGAATTTACGTAGGTACTTAAACAATACAGATAATTGTATTGAATCACTATATTTGCTCAAATTTCATCAATCAATAAATCAAAATAACAGCCACAAACGCAGATATTTCCTCTATACCCAAATTAAAAAGGCATTTACGACTTGTAAGAACTTTGACAATTTCACAACCAAAAGATGTACATTTTCCACTTTATGAATCGTATAACTATCCTAAGATTATTTAATTTTACTGAAATTCCAACGTTTTCATTGCATTTCGCTGCCTTTTAACAAGATACTCGTAAAAACTCATCAAACACTTGTTTACATGATTGCATGAAATGTTATCTCACTGATCTTTGATGAATATTTATTATGTAGTTTATAACAAATGCAGTATTATTCACCAATAATTTAAAAAAGCTACTACTTATTATCTGCAAAACGAAACTTCGAAAAAATAATTTCAAAAATAAAAGATCTAAGAACTAGGCTTATCGCAAATTCATTTACGTTATAATGAATAGAATGGAAATATTTGCCTTTTGCTATGAGAAAAATCTAAAATTTACTCACTGCGGTTTAAACCAATTCACACTTTTTTCAAAGTTTAGTAACAATTTTAGTGCAATTTGTTAGTCAGCAGTGCACCATTTTAGTTTGAAGCACTTTAAATTCCAATTTTTATTCACAGTCAACATCAGTTTTTAGTTTTGAGCCCCCAGAAAAGTAAATTGTGGACAAAAATAAGACAACAAAAAATTATCACTTATAATATCCCGAGTACGTTGATTGTTTCCGGAAATTTTTTCGTGTGATTGTTAAAAACGTCATTAATTACACGTTTTTGCCAATCACGAGAAAAATTTCCGAATTCAATCAATTCACGAGTGGTATTCGGGTGAAAATTGCATAAAGTTTTACTAAATATTTGAGGTTAGTTTTTGTGTCAAAAAAATTTCCTCTTATTAATTTTAGGCACCGCCTCCTTAATGAAATGTATCAATATCCCGCCTGGGCATTTCGTAAAAAATGCATTGGAGCAGTGATTCCGATTTTTTCTTAGTTACGGGGGTTACTAAGGAAAAACTGAATGATTTTTAATTATTAACGAAAAATAACGCAATTAATAAATGCTGGGAAGGAAGGATACAACAAAACAAGATACGTCAGGGAGAATTGATATTGTGAGGTTGAACCCTTTAAGCTAAAAAACTGGATATGTCAAAAAAAATTCCCCAGATTAGGGCGCCAACGGGAATTAGTTGAACTCACAAAATGCCCAGGCGAGAAAAAGATTATTTCTATGGAGACGGCGATGATTTTAGGTAATGAGTCAAAAAATTTCCGGAAAATTTTTGTGTTGCTATGGTAATCATATTAAATACTAAATTCAGATTGGTTCTTCCATAGTCATGCAATTTTCAAATGAATCAACTCATGTGCAATATGAAAACTGAGACGATTAGCTCAAATAATATATTTTTAATTGAAGCAATTATACTGGACATAAAACTTTCCTTAATTAAAAAATTACTAAAATTGGCGAAAGCTGAGCCAACGCGCCACCACGTCAAAAATCTGACAGGAAAATTATTTCACATACATCTCAATTTTTTAATAACAAATCGTTTCTTACGGATCAGTTTCCTACAGAAGTGCATGTGTAAAGTCGGCCTAATTCACAGCACTTTCGATAAGCCCACGATGCATATTTTTCCCACGCAAAAATGAAAATTTTTCCAAACTTTCACACTCAAAAAAACTGACAAAAGAACGTGAAAACTTGTTCATGACTGAAATTGAAAACCCAGTGACGTTTCACATTACACTTGCGATTATTCACTCGCAAGGAATTTCAATCCAAGAGAGATGTAATTGTTGATGGTTTTTTCGCGTTTCCGGTGCAGAAAAGCGCACTTTTTTTCGGCAAACACGTGTAAAAATGAATGTGCCAGAAGAACACATATCATTTAAATGAGTGGGAAACGAACGGTGGAGTATCACCGGAAATGACGGTCGACACCCTCTTTATCTGTTCGTCACATTAGCCGAAAGAAACAGTTTAAAATGGAGGCTATTCTTGTGTGAAAAATCGACCAACAAGTCCACTTTATCGAGTTTTGCGACCATAAATCGCAATACTTGGCATACGTCTCTGGGATTATTTTTATAAAAAATTTCAAACAAAAACATTTCTCTCGGGCCAAATAAAGGCGAAAAGCGTTGGCAAAGCCCAAAATGCAGCAATTCGAGTGAATTAAAGCCGTGTCTTGACCTCAACGTGAAAAATACGCATTTTAACCTTTGATGGTGGTACATGGCCAGCGTTTTAGGTTAAGCCGATTAATAAAAAATTCCCACATACCTTCATCGCAATCATCCATGCACACATCTTGGATTAAGGAAATGTCTGAAGAAGAATCAACGAAATGAGCACAAATTGAAATAATTTTCATTAAAACTTGACTCACCCGCCATTTTGTACCAGCATCAAAACATAGCAATTGTAAAAAGGCACGTGATTTAAAATTTTCATTAATACAACAACATTCGTCAACACTTGTAGTAATAAATCACATTTAAATACGTTACTTGACTTATCTACTTTGATAAAATCCTTATTTATCTTGTATTTCACTTAAAATTCTTATTTCGAAGGCAAAACTTCGTCATGGCTCTAGTGTGGCTGTGTACAAAAAAATACTTATTTAATTCTCATACCAACGTAAAAATATTTAATTCCCGTTAGAGAGTTGGTAAGCGGGAAGTTTGAATTCTCATACTTTGCCTGTAAAATTAACAAAAAGCAAAATTCTAGGAAACTACAATTTATTGTTGTTATTAAAAAAACAAAACCATTCCATTGCGGTCTTTTTGTCATAATGATTATTTTGTAATTTTTTTCTAATTTTTTACCTTTAATAAGTATTGATGTAAAGCATTGTATGTAAAAAGTAATGACGTTATAATTTCCAAAACGAATAAACAACTAAATATTAAATAAATTTGACACAAAATGAGCATATTTTACTATAAAATAAGTTTAAATATNATAAGTTTAAATATATTTTTAATTCCGAAATAAAAAAATTTCATAAATTTAACAAAAAATAATTAGTATAATTCATATTTGTTGCTCTTGTTTAATAATTAAAACAATCACAATTTATTTTCGTTATAATTTTCAATGGTACAAAAAGCTTTTTTTTTTACCGTATCGTCATCATTTTCAAAGAAGTTGGTGTTCAAAATTATTTTTATTAAAATTAAAAGTAAAATGTCTTGTTTACATTAAATAATTTCTCACCTGAAATGATGGTGGCATAACTTCAAATGTTTTTCTACATTTTAACTTGTCTTTTTCTTTATAAAATTGAAAAAATAAGGTTATTTTTAACCATATTATTACCATACGTTGGCCTTAAAAGTTCACAAAACTGCTCATAAAGAAATTACAATAAATTCCATTTTGAATGAATAATTTTTTCAGAGAAGTTTCACTCATTTTTATGACGAATAGTTGTAAAATCATTATGACTCAAATGTATCTGAAATCTGGGAATCACCTACGAAAATCATGAGTCATGCAGTAATTATGAAAAATAAAATTCATATAATTTTCTTCCTGAAAGGGATAGAAACAAATTGACTTATGCTTAAAGCAGTACTTTTATTTCAACATTAAAATATAGTCATGTAGTATTTTCTATATTTAACTTTAAAATAATTATTTAATAACATGAATATATAAATTCTTTAAATAAAATAATCCAAGATAATGCTTTTTTTGACACATCACCTGATTTGTTATTGTCAAATTAAAATTGATTACACCTAACTACTAAAATAAAGTTGATTCATTTTACAAAAATATTAACAACTTGGGACTAAAGTCTGCAATAAAACCTACTTAAATAAATACAACCTTCTAGAACCTAAACAATAAACCCGTGTCTATTAAAAAAGTCAACAAATTTGTACAAAAATACACTATTAAAATAATTGATTATGTCTCCTATTCGCAGTTTAATTGTCAGGGATTTTCTTCTACCACCAATTCGAAGGGCGCTCTACACATGGGACATTCTACCAACTGATTTGCACACGACGGACAAAAACCCCTAAAAAAACCTTTAATCAAACAAACATCCCTCAACCCTTAAAACTTACGAATGCTCGCAAGGAATCAGCCGCACTGAAGCCTTCTTATCATAACAAAGCGTGCAACTATCCTCCCTAATATTCTGTTGCCTTAACTGATCCAAAAAAATATGCCTTGGCATCACTATTTTATCCTCAGGCTTTAAAACGCCCTGATCGTTGAAGGTGGAAAACTCCCCAGAGGGCGCAAACCTAAAAGGCTCCGCCCCAAAATTAAACCGGCATTGTTGGAATGACATAAAGCTAGCAGCGGCAAAAAAACCAGATCTGCAATTGGCACAATTCAGAAAAAACAAGTTAACACGTACTTACATCACGATGTTTTTAAATAAAGGTGGCTGTTTTTTATTTTTTCAAGTTGGACAAGCTGGAAAAAAATTCCATTTTCTGGTCTTGGCAGTGCTTTATGTTGAAAATAGGTATTTATGTTTTAAGTACATAAAATAGTTTTAAGTAACAAATCGTGATTAATTAGAGGAGTTCCCTAAAACTATACCCCGTCCCATTTCTATCGGCATTCTGTCACTTTTTGTGTTTTGTGTTTTGGCTTTAAATTTATCAGTAGGGTTCAGTTGCATACATTTTTTTCTTTTACATGGAAATCAAATGTTTGTGACTTACTTCGCTTGAAAAAATGCAGTTGCGACTTTGCCAGTAGCAATAGAAAAGTTCCGAGATATTAATACAGGGTATTTACGGTCTTGGAGTTGACAATTGTCCAAATAATAGAAAAGTACAGAAATACTGTAACCGAGAAAAAAACTCACACAATTGTTATTATTAAGAATGTTATTTACTCCAAAATATTGGTACACGGTTTGAGGGTCACTGGAATTCTTTCCTTGTTAAGATAAAATTGTATTATTGCAACAAATAAGAAAATCGTATCCATGACAATAAAAGAAAAGTCACTTCATAGTTTTGACCCTGTCATCATTTGATTTGCTTCTGTTGTATTAGTTTTTATCAAAATTCAAAGATCTTCTGTTTAATCCTTTCTAGCGAAATGTTTCCAATAAGTTTGATTCGATTTTCTTAATTTTTTTCCAAATTTATGAACATGGATCGCAAATATTAAAATAATAAATTGGTTGTCGTGATTATGATTTACGGTGAAACACAAGGTAATGATACCGTGTGATCAAAAAAAATAAATAAGAGTAGGCGTCGATTAAATTCTACAGTTGGCAATACATTGGCTGGGAATCTGGGCTGGAAATTTTCCACACAAACTAAAAGTGAAAATGACCATTCTCCGTTTTCATCTTGTACAGCAATAAAAATTTTCTGCTCTAAAGTAAAAATTATTTCACTCAAAAGGAATAAAACGCAAACTTGTCAAAGTTTCCGCTGACATTTGATGTCAAAAATTAGGATTGCCATCTGAAAGACTTTAATTAGCGCCTACTTATTTTTTTTTTTTGATCACATGCTATTAATGACCATTGTTGTTGCAGCCAAAGCAGCAATTCTCAAACAAATAATATAAAATGAATTATTTCCTTTCATAGCGTATTTTTTTATTTTATATAGCATTATTAGTTTTCTTTTACTGTGAATAGCATCTCGTTTGAATTTCAACCTCAAGAGTGTAAACACCCTGTATATTATAATTTATAGGTAAATACGAAGTGATCTAGAAAGACTGTGTCTAAGTACCCTTAAAAAATTATTTAGTTCTAATAAAAATGTAAAGTGTGATTCTGGTCATTAACATCTAAAAATTTGAAGTAAAAATGTCAAAAACAATTATCAGTAATGTGAAAAACACTTGAATAAAACCATTTTATAATGGAGCATTTTTCAAATAGAATTATTGGCTATTTTTTTGCTTGCGATTGTATCTACAACAGACGTCGTAATTGGTGTTTAAGGTTACAACGAAATTTAGAAAACTTTAGTATGAAAGCACAAAAATTATAGTGACTAAAGACAAACATCTAAACCAGGTTTCAGCTGATTTTGACCACACCCAAGTAAAAATTTCGTACAATCCATGACAAAACTTGAACTTGAATTCGGTTTTGTGCATTATTTATGTTTTTTTTCTTACTGATTTTTGCTTCCGTTAAATTTTGGTACACAAGAGCGAATGACCGCCAAATAGTAGCGTTACCAAAATTAAATTTCATTGAGTGAACGATTTTCTTGATTTTTAATGTACCTGCTGGACAAAAATATACAGTGCGATCAAAAAGTCTTTCTATCAAGTAGCCGTCCTAGTTGAGGACGTATGTTGTATGGTAGTTCGTATGTTATCTAGGTGTCAAAAAATTATTTTATAAAAATTAAAACAATGAGCTAATTAAATTGAATTATTCTATGAAACGTATCAAAACAAACTAAAATAAAATTTTGTTGGTGTTTATTCATAAAAATCGTCCACCACGGTTTCCTGTCATAATTTACATAAAAAATATTTTGACATTTCTCATTTGTCATTGTGACATTTTATCTTCCACAGACAGGTTTTAAATTTCTACGCTTGCTTGATAGACAGACTTTTTGATCTCACTGTAGGTCAAATTTTGATACTTTCCAATATTCACTGTAAAGCTGGCTTTAACATTAAATTTAACTTTTCAAAACGTCAAAAAATGGCAGGAACATTAGTAAAAGTGAGGTTAACATTTAAGGGCTGTTTTTCATTTAATGTCAATGCTGTCCTATTTTTTTGTCTGACATTTATAGTGCCTACTTTTTATTTTTACAATCTATTTATTTAGTCTTACCACGGTATACAAAAAAAACTTAAAAATTTATAGTTTAATACCAATTATTAAAAAAATTTCTCCGTGTGACTGTTATCATTTATCAGCGTCAACAAATTTTATGTCAAAATATCAAAATCAATGGTGTTAAATTTGCTAGTTATCAAGACCATTTTACAAAGAAGCATTTCTAAGAATTTCCTGGCAGCATTTTAATCATTTTCTACAGATAAAGAGGTATTTACAATACCTATTTATAATATGGACATTTTAACTAATAAAAAAAATTTTTTGTTACATAGAAAGTTGTCAAATTTCCCCAGCCAACCTTAATCTAAAAACATCGCACCGACTGATACTTACTGAGCCATAGTGAACACATGAGTACATGGTGGTAACCTCATACCGTTTATAGAAAAAATTACTTGTGGCGTATTCAAGTCGAGAAAACAGCCCAGAATATCCCCAGACTGCCATGGGGGCAAGTTTTGGGGCTCAGATTTCGCATTATACCAAATTAGTTTGCGACAACCGTCATAAGCCAGCGAATATTTATCATCGCCGATACCGTAACCCTCCTACAACACACCTCAAATGAATTTAAGTGCTTTGAAAGGAAAAAAAAACTGACATGATTTAGAAAATTGCTATTTTTGGTCGCCCATCCAATCTGCATAACTCCCGGTGTTATGATGCAGACTTCGTAGTACCACACTCCTGAATCAGCCTGTGCCGTACAACGGACACTCTCGAAGGAGTAGGCGTCGCATCGGGCCTCTAAACCATCCGGTGATATCTTGAGGTATTCACTGACGTCGCTGGTGTTTAACATGGCGTTTATGTTCTCCATATTGACGGTCAAGTAGGAATATTTACGATTGTTCATCACGACTAGAACAGCAATTATGAGAAATGTGACAAGTTTTGTCTTGGTCAAGTTACATAAATTGTCCAAGACCCACTGAGCACAGAAACCGACTTGTCTTTTGATGTAGTGACTCTCGATACGCCACTTTTCCAATGCATTTATCGGACAAGGGTTCAAGACTTGCAACCGTTTCATTATTGTTGATTTGTTTTGACTAGACTGGGCGAACTTTTCTAAAGCTATCAATGAGAATAGGACAACATTTGGGTCAGTTTCAGGCTCCTGAAAATTATTATGTACTAACTTGAGTCACTCTTAGTCTACAAAAACTTACCAAATTAGTTAATAAATAGTCTAACATGTGTTCGTTTAATATTTTTAAATTCCTTGGACCAGCTAACGTCTCCGCTATGCACCCTAAAACTACACAAATATTCCTCTCTTTTGAAGGATTCGATCTCCCGGCTATTGCCGACTCCCGTGACACATTCAACATGTCGACGACCTTAAATACTGATTCTTTTGAAGGCAATGGACAATCGTCGAGCAACAATGTGATAATTGACGGTCCTAGAGGATCTGATAAGGGCACGACTTTAATCATCGATTTGGCAACTTGGATGAAGCCTTCCTCGTTATCAGCAATGTTGTGTAGGAGCAGCATTGACGGGGGTGGGTCCTGTTCACTGATAAATAATGGTTATTGAGAACAAAACAACATATTTGGAGACTTACTTGTCTACTAGTGTAGCAATGACCCCTAGAGTTTCCAGGACGAGTTTATCGACGAGTTGCGGGTCTGGGGCTTTGACTCGAATGTAATACTGGGGGGCTACTGGTGAAACCGGTTGTATTGTAGTGTTACTATGTGTTTGAGGAACATAAGTGTCATGTTCTTCGTGCTTTTCTTTACACCAGCAGACACCCATTACGTTGTGGAAGTGTATTTACAAAGACTTACGCGATGGTTGTTTACTACATGCTAGTTGTGTTTGAATGTTTATACAAGTTTTTATGTTGGTGTAATCATTGACATCAACATATTAAAATTAGCACTGGCGTGATTCGACACCGATACGATTTTCTGCATTAGGCGCGTTTGGTTAAGCCCATTAATTAACTGCATGGATTACGTAAGCACGCTTATTTGCACTAATTTTTAAGAGGAAAAATATTATAAGATAAAACACGTTTTTGGTTAGAATACGCTGTCACAACTGTCACACGATTAATGTCTAAAACAGCGTTGCCGTTGTTTTCTATTATACGTTGTTCCTAACCTCAAGCTAAATTTAAATAAAACTAATAATTATATGTATTTAAATATGTATTTATTTACCAAATTACATACAATTCAATACAAAATAATAGAATGTGATTAAACCAACTTTTGTACAATTGTATCAATGCGGCAACGTTGATCAAGGGTGGGGCATGCGTAATGGAAAAGGGGGCCAGTCGATTGTTCTTTCGACCGAAAATTAATTTGATATATACAGGGTGAGTCATTTATAATGAAAACCCATCCGATTTTGAAACTCAACTCAAAATACATTCTCACAGATAATTTGGCTTTAGTTGTCTTTGCAAAATTTAAATTATTTATCGTACCAAAATCTATTAAGTTCGTTTAATATGTCCGATACGAAACATTTTTACGTTAGATACCAAAAAAAATTGTATTAAGTACAAAATCATAGTAAACATTTCATGGACTTTCAGTTTTTGACATATTGCCTCTCCTATTCACTCGATTATCTTGCACGTCGTCTGCGTTGATTGACAGTAATAAAGTCTGGGCAATGCCAAAAAAATGGCCGGTGGGGGAGCGACCAGTCCGCGTTCCAATGGAATCTGTATATTTTGGTTTGAAACCTTGATAAATTTTTGTATACAAATTATTTTTGTGTTTTAAGGGTTGTATAATAATAAATGGTAATTGTTTACTTTTGATTTTAATTTTTTCTAAGAACCAGACGAAAAACATCAAAATTAAAACATTTTATACGCAAATATAATTTTATTTATTTAAAAAATTAAGATTTACATTTGGGTTAGATAGTTATTTTTAATCTTTACAAATTTACAAGAGCATTAACATATTACAATAACTCTTTGTTATGTCTTCAATACTTCGAATAAAAAACACTAGGATTAATTTTATTTTTCTGTTTTGAGAAAACCACGATCCTGAAACAAATTAAAAAACTAAGTAAAGTAAGTAAAAATAAAAAAGTATGTGTTGATGATTGTAGTGAATGTTGTCAATTTTTATACTTCAAAAAATGGTAATTACTGTAAAATATATTTAATAAATAAATTTAAACCTACGCTTATCGGAAATATTATTTATTTTGTATATTTGTAGGCATCTTTAGTAGAACTAAATGCATTAAACGCATTTGATGAAATTGAGCGAATGCTTATTCATTCTCCTACTCCAGAAGATGAAGAAAAAAATGTAAAGCTTAAACAGAACTGTAGTAAATACTTATATAATAATATAATTTATATCTTGCCATAGAAAGAAAATAAGGAGACTTCGTGAACCTGGAGGAAGGATCCTACCACAACTGCGGAGAGTCCTACCATGACCGCGGAGAGTCCAACAACCATGTCCGTGGAAGATGAAATCACGGTCATAGAGGGTCCAGCTGCGGTCGTGAAGGGTCCTCCGCGGGCGTGGACTCTTTTAGAGTTGGTTAAAAAAAACAAGTCAATTCTAGAATTTTTTGCCGACTTCTAGAATTCTAGAAACAGACGCCTTTTCAGCAAAACAGAAAAAAAAAAAAACAGAAATCGTCTGGGACAGAATAACCAACCAATTTAATGCTGTTGTCAAAATTGGTCCGAGATCAGCAATACAACTGAGGTTGCTCTATGAAAATTTAAAAAGGACGACGAAAAAAAGAAATTGCAGAAATGTAACATGTATTTATTAATAAAATGAACATTGTAAATTATAAATAGGTGGAAACATATAAGATGGGTGGAGGACGTAATAAATCACTAAATAATTCCTTGTCGGTTTGCGACAATTTAATTTCGTCACTGTTGGGACCTACCATCTCTCCTTTGGAGAATCCATTTGATAGCAACGGTGAGTTCGGGTTGAATTATTTCAACTTTCATACGATTATTTTGAAACATAGAAACAACGGAACCTTTGACATCTAATTTCTAATTCTAATTTTGGAAAATGAGAATAGTGACAACGATGGAAATAAGGCTGTAATAGTGACGGAAAACATTCCTCCAAAGATGGAAAACATTCCTCCAAGGATTTCTCCGAAGAGTCCTGAAATCATCGTATGTAACAGAAAAATCGATTCAGTTGAAAAATAAGAAGCGTAAATGCAATTGTGAGGTTAAAATTGATGAACAAATTTTTAAAATGAAAAAAGAAAAGCACGATAAAAAAATGGAAATTCTAGAAATAATTAAACAGAAATAATTAGAAGAGTTGAAAGGAATAAAACTAGAGAACCAAATTAGAAATGCGAAATTGTTAAGCTTAAAATAAAAAGTTAATAAGTATTATGGACATCTATAATTATTTGGGTAAAGATGGCGTAAAGAAGGGGTGAAGAACCCCGGCGGAGCTCTGAAAGAGAGTTAGAAATTCTCACCTGAAAACGTCATCCACTGAGAAACTATCTGATCATTTGCACCATTGCCAGCGGTATGCCTGTTTGACAGAGCCTGTAAACAAGCTCGTCATGCCAGACCATATCGAATGCTTTTGCCACGTCAAGAAACACAGCAGCAGTAATTTGCTTTCACTCGATACTGATGGAAGCGTATTCTACGACTTGTAGTAGCTGATCTGTCGTCGAGTGTTTCGACTGGAAGCCCAATTGCTCGTCAAGGATGATGTGTCGCTCCTGTGTGGTTTTGTGAAGACGGAAGTGGATGAGACGTTCAGCGACCTTGCCCACAGCCGACAGCAAGTTTGGCTTCCCATCTCTCATTTCTGAAGTCAGAAAGTGATTTTCTGACCTCCCATCTCAGCCGGTTGGTTTCCGTGCGGTCCACTACGTTGAGCAATGCGCCTGGGTTGCCTTTTTGCCCTGATGAGTTCCTTGATCTCCCGCGGAATCTCAAGTTTTGGGGTCCGAATTTGCCGTTCCCTGGTGGCGGTGGAGATGGCCTCCCAGATCGTCGCTTCGAAGATTTGGACTGCCTCGTCGATTTCATCCGTGGACGTGATGGGTGGGATTGCTTCACCAGGTGCTTGGTGAACTTCCTCCATTCACTGAGGTATAACGACGTACATCCGGGCCTCGTCCCTGATATGCATCAGGACGGGGTTATGATTCGAAGAGAGGTCGTTTATTACCGTCAGTCTGAGCTGGTGAGCGACCTTTTTGACGATTGTTGCGCCGTCCGTGTTTCGGTAGAATGTGGGTTCTACCGGAGCCATGACGGTGATGTCCAGGTGTTGGTCCGGGAAACCGTCGAGAATTTGCCCGTTTCTGTTCGAGCGTCGGCTCCCCCAGTTGCTGTGCTTGCGTTGAAATCGCCAGCAGCAATCGTTGGGGTGTTGGCGTCGAAAAGGGTCTGCAGGTCCTCCTCAAGAATTGGAATTTGGGGTCGGTTGTAGCATGCGAACAGACGCAGAGGTCCGTTTGCAGTGGCTACAGTGATGCCCACAGCTTCCAAATTGCGAAGATCTGGTGTTGCTAGAACAAAGTGTTTAATTCTGTTACTTACATAAATTGCCGTTCTTCCTCTTGGACCGGTTCCTCTGTCCGCCCCGTGGAGGGTGAATCCCCGAATTTTTGGGGGTTGCAATTTTGTTTCGCACAGAAGTACGATGTCCAGTTGCATCCTGTCGACGAATTCTTCGAGCTCGTCTCGGTCCGCTCGAAGCCCGTTGGCATTCCAAAATGCTACCTGAAAAAAGAGCTGGTTTGCACCCGTCAATTATTCAGAAGAAAGAGCGATGTAGGGTGAAAGTTTCTCAGCCAGTTTCTTCGAACTCTTTGCCGTTGGTCCTGGTACGCTAAGACGGCAGCTTTGGGAACTTCGGGCAGCCCATGTAATTGGCCGTGTGGGGGCCATTACAATTGGCACACTTGGCAGGCGCAGCGCGCTCCTTTGTGCACACCTTGGTCTCGTGGGCTTCGCCGCACTTGACACAACGGTGTTCTGCCGTGAAGTTCTTCTGCGCTTGATGTTCGCTGGCATCGGTGCCATTGGGCTGCTTTCAGCTTTCAGCCTTGATTAGTAAATCGCAGACGGTCTTCACCTTCCAGAGTTCCTTCACCTAGTTGAGCGGTGACACCAACGGGAGTTGGCGCTTTCCGGCGTGCATTCGGTGCACATGAAGAGGGTTGAAACCCTGTCTCGTCAAGTCCACGGCTGAGATTCCCTGCAGGATTCCCCTCGAGGTTCTTTCCTCCGGGAGGGTAAAAGTGTGATATGGAATCTTTTCTGAATCCATAAAACGGGTGAAGGCCCTGAAATCAGCAACGGTAAATTCACAGCAGTGAAAACCCGCTGCCATTTTCCTGCGTCCCAGAAAAATGGGGATTCTTGGGGCCTTCGGTTGGGGGGCAGCCAGGTTGGAAACCAGGGGGGCTAGCGGGACCGGACCTGAGCACTGGGTGGCTGCCGGGGGGGAGCCCTGGGGAGCAGCCGGGTTGGAGCCCTGGGGGACCTTCTGGGCTAAGCCCGCCACAAATGCCGACCATGTGGTGACCGTCGAGGGGGCTGTCTTGGGGACGCCTTGAGAGGACCTCCTCCTCTTCTTCTATTTTTCGGCGATGTGTTCGAAGCAGGCGGAGATTCCTCCTCGGACAGGCTCGAAAACATGTTTTCGGTGGAGATTTCGGGCTCAAGAGGGCTGGTGGATGGGGCTGGTCGCTTCTTTTGGCTTGACTAAAGCGCTCCGTCTCCATGTCGCTGTCGCTTGGGGGGCGCGGTGTTAGGCAAAAAGTCTGCGATGCGCCAGACTCCAGGGAATGCACCGAAAAATTGGTGATCGTCCCTGCGGAAGTTTCTGAGGTCATCTCTGAAAATAAAACGTCCTTGAGGCGTTGCCTCGACTTCACAGCGGCGGCCACACGGCGATAGTTGCGTGTTCTAACATCTTTTTAATTTGTTAAAAAGAGAACTTTCCCTTCCTCTTCGCTTCGAAGTCGGTGTAAGTTCTTGAAACTTTTTAATTTGCTATTCTGATCGCATTGACAAACAGGCTTTGTGTCGTGTTAATAAATAACACGCTTTGAGAGTTGGACTGTGATCGTGTTTAAAAACACGACCAAGTCAGCGGTGATGATTTCGGAATCGGAAATTTTTCTTTGCTTCTCAGAAGGCTGTTGGACACGTCCGCTTGCTTCGACCGCTTGCTTTCATCGACTCAGAACGATGAAACGAGCACCGATGCGCGAGTTTTATAAACAACGAGTTCCCACAAATGACTTATGAAACAAGTTTTTTATGCTATTTTTTTCTAACATAAAAGTCAATTTTTCAAAATTGAGGAACTTTTGCCCTAATAAGGTGGTGATTGGTAATACTGAAAAATTTGATTTTCGAAGAGTCAAGTTTCAAATATTTTTCAAAATTTTGTTGAATTAACAATGAATAGTGCAAATATTTCATGCACACCACCTGAAATCAAAGAAATCGCTCAAAACGTCACTAAAAATCACCACATTACCAACCTGCAGAAAGTAAATTGTACTATGTAGTCCATTTTAGCACCCAAATTAGTGTTTTGTCGGGAGAACCGCTTAATTAAAGGTCTGCAATTATCGGACGAAAACTACCCGATTGCTTGTAAAACCTTGACGGATCGTTACGAGAACAAGTGGGAGTTATTCTATCAAAAATTCCGATGTTGCCAAAACTAACCACCCAGTCCGCGGGCGAACTACGTGGACTTCTAGATAATTTCCACGAACACCGCCCCGCTTTTTATGCGTTGAAAATTGAAAAATCTTTAGAAGATTCCTGAGACTTTAATTATTTTTAGAGAAGTTTGACCCTCAAACATAGGTTCATTGGATCCCTCTAAAGTTTCAAGATTTAGCACCTTGACAAAGTTTGTGAATGCTGGATATTAGACTCAGTCGAAAAGTCTTAAGCGTCAGCTTAGAGCAACACACTCAAACCGCGTCCTTTGTTGATCCGTTTTATTAGGATTAGTGAATCACACAATCTTGCATTTTGATAAGTCTCGTGATGCGCCACGTTTGACTGATTGATCAGCAATGGCCCCTTCCTCAGAAGCAAATAATGCAGCGTCTATACCTCAACAACAATACGTAGTCCTTCTAATTCTGTTACGATTAGGGATGGTACTCCTTGAAATAAAGGATTCGCGAAGCAATTTTCAAACGATACGAGTAGTCCTGTATAGGGTTATCAATTATGAAGCAATATTTGAACCTCAAAAATGACCTATAAATTGAACACGTGTCCGATTTCTATTGATAAGAATTTTATAGCCCTCGGAATGTGGGTATGGAAATTTGTTTTTACTTTACCTACCCTATAAGGAAAGTATTGTAATCGGATGAAATTTGACCTACCCAGATTTTTACATTTCTGGACGAATTATAGCTTCAAGACACCAAAAAAGTTGGTTTGCGCCATTGGGTCGTGTGTGTGTCTACCTGTAAATAGCATATCTCGAGAACGATAAGTGATAGAAACTTGAAATTTGGCATGTAGCAACGGGACGTAGCACGAAACAATTGGTAAAAATCGGTAGCACCGTTCGGCCGCAAAGACCAAAAGTCGGCCGTAAAGCGGCCGCAAAATTATACGGTTGAAGATACAATAAATTCATGGGGAAACAAATTATTTAGAATCATGAAATATACCTTATTACACAGTAAAATGTGATAAAATAATAATAATAATAATAATAATAATAATATTAATGGATACCGAACTAAAAAAATTGCACCCCAGACTCGAACTCGCGACAAGTATGATCTATTTCGCGTGTAATCCGGCACTAACGCAAAGGTTACACTAAATTATTGTCGTTATTAGGATGTTTTCCAAATAAGTAGAATAAGGAAAGTCGTGTGATGTCTGTCAGTCAGTCACGAAACTCTTTCATACAGGGCCGCTAAAAAGTTTGGATACAGCTAAATGTTTTCAGAACGGTTTAGCAGAGCACGTTGAAATTTGGGAAACAGTTTACTTATTTTTTCGTCAAAGTTAGGCGGCAAAGAGCTAACGGTAGATAAAGACAACATTTTCAAGGCTAAGAAAATGGCATTTTTCAAAATTTAATTAGTTCGATAATTTTCGATTAAAAGAAGGTATGCATGTGTTACATAACAGAATTCAGAAAAAAAATGCTCTTCTTAAAAATATTAAATTTGACCCTTCTTGCCATTAAAAAAATCAAGTTAGCCTTGTATCCCAGAAGAAATGGAGATAGAAGTTGAATGCTTTTTAAGCATATACCAAATTTCAATAAGTTTTGATGAATAGTTTTTATAATATTTAATTGTATTCATAGTTTTAGCGACCCTGTTGAAATATCAGCATTCGAATTCGAATTTAGCGCCACTTTTGGGGTGGAAGTAGGTGTCACCCCAACGGAAGAAAAAGGAAGGAAGCGGGGGTGAAACGAACCAACGCTCTCTTAAAAACCAACAAGTGACCGAATCCAGACGTGCCGTGCTGCCGTGTTCCTCCCAATTGTTTTTGAAAGTTTCCTTTTGTTTGCTTGAATATTTTGTTGTTGTTTTAACTTAAAATCCAAGCTCCTGTAAAACCCCTCCGTTTTGTCAAACAATTAAAGCACCGATTACATGGAAAAACACCTGGTGTGACGATCAGCTTTCCACGAGTGTGAACCGAGTTTTTTGGAAAAGTCGTGCTATTTCCTAATTTCCCAGGACATTAGCCTGTTGGGGAAATTGTTGCCAAGGTAGGAATGAATTCTTTAATTAAAAACGCCGTGTAACTAAGATGCCGACGGAAATTTCCCTCCATAAAAACAAACCGCCATCGCTGAATGACGTCATGGACGCCATGATAGAGTTTGTAAGGTGTATCTATCAAAATACCTCCAATCAGCTAAAGTTTCTTGTTAATTTATATTCATGCCTGTGCATTAGGGTTTTCTAAATTTGTATGAACAATTATTTTTGAGATTTGATGTGTGGGGGCGTCGAGGCGAGTCTTTATTTTGTTTTCCACGTGTTGGTAAATTTAAACTGTTGTTAATTTGCGATAGCCTGTGCATTTGAAAARCAAAATAGACAAACTTAAAATCCAGTAAATAACTCAGGARATTTTRCAAATTATCATTTCTTGTGACTTAAGTTGTCGGTTCGCTTCTGTCAAACACCGAAAAGGAAAGCATGCCCACGAGAAACTATTACCGAGGGGATGACTTGCGAACGTGTCTTATGGGTTTCGCTCGGGAGTTTTTGCGTACGAAAGAAAGAAGGCTTGCCCACGAGAAACTATTACCGAGGGGATGACTTGCGAACGTGTCTTATGGGTTTAGCCCGGGAGTTTGCAGTGAAAAAGTGGCGCCGAACSGAGGGGATGACTTGGCAAGGTGTTCCACACAGTAGTTTTCAAACAAAAACAACCGCGCTGTAGTTTTCAAATCACCCGCGCTGTAGCTTAGCCGAACTGACGACAAGAGCCAAGATTAAAATTCTCAAACTTTGTATTTTTTTTTGTGCCCGCTAACTTCATTGCAGTTGAACTGAATTTCTGTCATAATAACCAATGTTACAACCTGATTCTCCAATACTCTGTCATAATCCATATGAAAAACTCGTCTACAGTTTTATTTTGTGTTGTTGTGAGTAAATTCCATGTTACCATCGTTTTAAACAACCCCAAATAYTTAATGAATTAATAGAGTCTCTAGTCTACGGCGTCCCTAACACTRCGAGGAATTTAAGCCATTGTTAACCCACGTAACTGTTTTGTAAATTGTTTTGCATGTTGTATTTTTTATTTTTAGTTTATTTTTATTTTTTTTTGTTATGTTGTTGCTTGAAAACATTTAATAAGCATTGGTTTTGGACACGGTTTAGGAAGGTTTTACCCGGTCCTTCCTGCAGTGATTAATCATGAGTAATTTTTGGTTTTTGTAGCTTTCAATGTTTTGCTTTTCAGGATTTGTCGTTTTTTGTTTTTTTTTTTTTTTCATTCACACTGCACTTTGATTTTCTTGATTGTTTTACATGACTGCAGGAAATAAACAATAAATGCTTTCCTTCCAATTTGAGTTTTATTCGTGCCCTTTCCAATTTGAATCTCACGCATGCGCATTCGAACAATTTGCCCGCCAATTTTTGACAAACACAACGTAGGTTCCTAACCACTTCGATGACGATCACGACTTTTCGGCCATTTTGTTTTCATTTGAATTTGGCGCTCAGGTATTCACTTTCGGCGGGCAGGGTATGGCCTTTTAGGTCATCACACTGTATATACAGGTGCGCCAGAACTCGCGCCCCAGAGAAAAATGTCAAGTGCCAGCGGCAATAAATCGCCAAAAAGTGCAGCCGAAGAAGTAATTTTTGCTTGCATAAAAATCCACCAATCCCAGAAGGGCATCTCAAGGTGTGATTGAAAAATTATATCCGTTGCTAGGTTACGAAAATAATACCAATTTGTCCAGGACTTTCAATAAATAAATAGCTGGTCTACTGTAATTTTCTGTCATGTAGATTTGATGAGAATGATTAAAGAAATTGTAAGAGAAGTCAGACTTGCTGACTATTAATGTGGTGTCGACAATTTGTGACCAAGGAACTTCAAATGAAGCTGCTATAAAAAATTAATAGAAGACACAAAAGCAGCCTATTTGAGAGGTGGGCGGGAATGGAAAAGCAACTGCTTTGAAATTGATGGAGAGACAATTATTCTATTTTTTGACCACCACACTTATTGAAAGGTATAAAGAACAACGTTTTAGCCAAAGACCTCCATTGGACCATAAATGGTAAAGCAGTTGTCGCAAAGTGGAAGCATATAATACAGCTTTTTGCTGATCCGGGAGAACAAAATATTAGG